AGCTAGAAGACACTCGAGATATGTTACGTCTTTTATTTATTACAACTAAGTTAACAATATAAGTCTTGGTGAGTCCTAAATACATTGTTTTGACGAACTTAATAGTCTTTATTGACGATTATTTGATCTAATATAATCAGTCTTCTCACAAATACTGTATTCATTATACACGGTTTGTTTTTGTGGAACTGTTTCGTATTTTTAAAACTCAAATAACCACCTTAAGTGTATTGAATCTATTTAAATGGGTAAAGAATATTTAAAAGATAACTTCAAAGAGGAATAATTGTCAAATCCTCTACTTCCAAAGCTTTAAAAACGAAAATCCATGAAGTTATGGCCGCGAAGAATTACTAGTTATGTACGGATAAGATATCGAAAATTATCTCAACAGGATCCAGTACTGTGTCATGTTTCGTGGAAAAAGTTTTAAAATGTTATTCTTCAGACTTTTTAGTTAAGTGCAACCAATTATTGACTTCATAATTTAATCAAAATCTCAATCATAACTGTGTTCTAGTTGCGTTTACTCTTGGAATCATAAAGTATATAAACCTGAATTATGACGTTAGCATATTTTTCTAACACAGACTTCAATGCCATATACCTAAAAAATAATAGTATACGAAACTATTGTTCTCTTTCAAACTTTGGTCATGCTGATCCAACACGTTGGTTGTTCAATAAGTTTGGAACGAGAATGAAAGAAAAACAGATTTGAAGTTGTAAAAATGATTTGACTTTTTAATAAAGTTCATTTAAACTGGAGCCTAACTCTATAATGGTTTCCTATCAGAAATTCGTTTCGAACAAGAGTTTTTTGAAATCCAATAAGTGCTGATTTTTAAAATAATTCATACTTTTACTGATTCACTCATTTTAGCAAGGATTATATGAGCAGAAGTATTGTCTTAATGAAAAATCATATTTTTTCTTCTATATACAGAAGAATTTTTCACGAACTTTTCACGAAAATCATTTTCATCATTTCATCCAAAAATTTGCTAAGTTTCATTAGAATATGTCCTTATTGCATTATCAGTTTTCGAACCCCAATAGTTACCAGTACTCATGTAACCCTACTAATATTGTAAATGGATCTTCTAAGAATATTCAATAGTTTGTTTGATTTCAATTAGTAGTATATTTATACATAAATATATGTATATCAAATAAACACTATAATAAAGTTACTATTATAATTATTATTTTTTCTGTTTTTAATCAAAGCAAAGATTGTCTCAAAATGTAAGTTATGTCCACTTTTTTTTTACGTTTTCAAACTTTCAAACTCCAAAAGATCCAAAAGAATATTTTTTATATATTCTTTTGGATTTCCATGAATAGAAATTTAAATAATTCACATTTTTCTCAGTAAATTAAAGATAGCTAGTATAGTTTATATGTAAATAATCTCTTTAAGCATGACGACATGAACTCATTTGGCGATGTAACCTTGCCTACCTTTGTATTAGAATGCAAATGAGTTGCCCAATTTTTAGCCCAATCGAATGAAGGTTAATTTGACAAATTAATGACATTGGTTTACTACATTAAATATTGCTATTCTTTCGAAAATAAACGTTTATATATAAATGAGAATGTGTAATGCATTTGACGTCAAAAAAAGTGTTCGAAAGTATTTATAATATAAATATAATACCTTCTGCTCAAAAAGTACTCGGATTTTGTAAATAAAACACACAAATTTAAATTTTATTCCAAATTTATTTTATCTCCTTCAAAATATGCTCCTTCTGAAGCGATACACATATGCCAACGCTTAACCCAATCTTCCATACACTTTTCGTAGGCCCGTAAAGGTATGGCTTTTAGTTCCTTCAGTGAATTCTCTTTTACCGATTCAATCGACTCAAAACGCTTACTACGAAGAAGCAATTTGAGTTTCGGGAACAAGATAAAGTCGCACGACGCCAGATCTGGCGAATATGGCGATGACAATAGTGCCGTGTTTGGTCAAAAAATCGCGTACAACAAGAATAGTAAAAGTCGCTAAATGCACTTGAGATACCATAGTCTCACATTAACAGCTGCTGTAAACAAACTAATTGACAAATGGTGCTCAAATTTGTAACATATGTCAAGAAAGGGTGTACAAAAAATTTTTGAAAAACGTCTATTACTTAAGGAGTAGTTAACAATAAAATCCGGATAGTTTTTGAGCAGAAGGTATTTTATTCCCTTTTTTTGTGACAAAAAATATTATATAATAATTTATAAGCGGGCTAATTGGTCATTTAAATAAAAATAATAAACTATAATTTATTATTTATATTTAAAACAAATTATTTTATTAAGATATTTTTCAATATTTCGACTAACTACGATGATCCCTGAACATGACTATCGAAAATGTGAAAATTAGACTTTGCTCAGTGGATTTACCTTTGCCACGTTTTACCTAATCCAACTCACTCCATACACCTTACATAATTAAATTTCAGGATGGACTACAATTTAAGGTT